TCACTGAGTTACGCAAGCCCCTTCGCCACGACAAGGCAGTGATCCATGAAGGGGAATTTGGCAATAGTCTTGAAATATTAATTTCATGAAACTCCATGGCATGGTATAGCCTTGTGATCTACACCAATATGTGCAACTATTTGTGGCACTGTTCATCTAAGGGAAGGCTCCAGCTTTATATTCTCCTAACCTATATTACATCTGCTAAGTGCTACCTGCTTCAAGAGTCTTCTTCCTATCCCTAGAGAAATGTGAGATTAAGTCGCAGTCCTGAAGTGCAGGTATCAACCATGTTTGTGGAAACAGAATGCCGCACAATGTCAGAAAAGCCACATTCCCAAGTGCCAGGGAAAAAGAGGTGGCCAAAATCAAGAAGAGGAGAGACTAAAATCAGGAAATGGGTCTGATAAACATGATATTTTCTTCTCTGTCTTTCTCCTTTCTTCCTTTATAGCTTCCTTTGTCTCACTCTCCCCCTTCTCTTTGTACGTGTGTCTGCTGCTGCATCCTACTTAGATTCCTGTTCATTGAGAAAGGGGCTGCTGTTCTTTTCTTGCATCACAATTTGTAGTAAAAAAAAAAAAAAAGGTCAGGTGTGGCCAGGAGGCCATAGGCCCCCAACCACTATGGGGGTGAAGAAGTAAAAAGTAAATGATAGACTGGAGGATCTGGAAAAAAGAAAACTAACTGCTAAGTCAATAGAAGACCATCCAATATCTGAATATTAAAACTGTTAATAATCCTATGCTGGTGTATAAGACCTATGTTATCGTGATTACAACTACCACAGGGCAGCATAATTTTGTTTCATGTGGAAATCAGTAAACCAGTTTTAACCACTTAAAAGAAAACAGAATGAGAAATATATGGAACTAAATCTTCAAACAGAGCGCCTTGTGATGGGCAGTTGAAACAATGTTTTCTAATTAAGTTTAGAGGAATTAGAAATGCATGTAAATATTGTCTAGAGTGGCCAATGGTCATTCCTGTACTATGTATGTTTTTCATCTGATTCTCATGGAAACTTCAACAGATAATCCTACTGGGAATATATAATCATTGCCTCCTTACTGTCAGGTTTTTGAAATTAATCTCAAACTTCCTGACTGCCTTGGCAAAACTTAAAAGATTTCACAGCCCACAATGTATTTCCTAGATGAAGGAATTCTGCCTTGAAGCAACTAAAGGATTAAAAGCTGACCCCTGTAAAATAAACCCCTCCTTTCTTGCATTCCAAGTTTTTTAATTCAGCCTGGCAAAGAGGAATTATCCTTTTTGGAACCTCCAAGAAAGAGTGAGCACCCCCAATGCCCTCCTGCTCCTCTCCCTCCACTCACACACATGCTACTACTGTCACACGTACTCTTTTTGCAATCTGGCTCAGCATGGCTCTTGCGCACCAGAAGACCGTGCTTGTACATAGCAATGCTGGGATCCTGTGAGAAGTCCAAGAAAGGGTTGCTGCAGCTGCTGATGCGTTTGATGGACTTTGAGTTGGGGTCTGCCAGTTCTGAAAGGGACTTTCGCAGCTCTTCTTCATCTCTAGAGGGGCAAAGAAGCATCAGAGATTCACCTCTTCCAACTATTTGACATATACCATCAATATTCATCCAAGGCTTTGAAGCACTGGAGACTGAGAAGCACAAATCGGAAACCTGTTTAGTGCAGTGTCTTTTGAGGAACAGGAACTATATATGGCTGGAATCCAAAGTCCCAGGTTACCTCTGATTTTCTCAGTAAGATGGGAGATTGTTATTATATGGGGGAAAGGCCATGAACAAAACAGGCAGTTGATGTATAGACAACAGGACAGAACAGGCACCTGATACTGCCATCTTGACTGGACTTCATTCTACAGAGGTTACGTACAGATAATTATTTTTAAACAGCAAGAGGAACAATATCCCCTTTTTCTGTATCACTTTAATACTTTTGTAGTACTAGATATCATTCAAGCATCATAGCATGATAATTCTTTAATGTAACATCAGCAGAAGGGGTGGAAGGAGTAGTACTTTCTAGCTTTATTTCTAAGGTGTTTTCTTGAAGTAGAATCATATTCTTGTTCAAAAGAATACACAGAAATTTTAAAAGGATTAAAAATATTATGAAACGTTGGAACTTTCACATTAAAAACAAGAAAAAAATTACAAACTGATCTAATACAGTGAATCAAGGGGTGCAATTTGTTTCATTTTAAAGAATAAAATTATTAGTACTTGGCCTGAAGGGAGGAAAAGAACACACATAAAAAGGGTAGTGAAATGTCTTGCTCAACTCTGATGCTACACTGAATATTTGTTAAGGAGAGAAGCTGTGAAGTTCCTTAACATCAATACCTCCTGTGGTGGCCCCCGCTCTGTGGAACAATCTACCTCCCGAGGTGTGGTGTGCCCCCACTCTCATGA